CTATGCGGATTTGGTCACTCTACGTACCCTCTTCTTATTTATAATAAATATATTATTCAATCCCCAGATCAAATTTATTGTTCAGTGGTTCGTACGAACATGACCCCTGACTGTCGCGATAGAGTGAGTCAATATAGACAGTCATGTGGCACCAAAGAACTCCTAAGTATTGTCTTTAACGCCTCTGACTCTTTATTCTATGGAGTCTTATAACGATGGTAAACGAAACTTGGCGAACTTCGCCATTTTTCCCGAGATAGTTGCATGGCCTTTAATCAAATTATAATAATTTTGACGGGAAACTCCAAAATTACTTATTGATCTGTACGACGATTTCAGCACTACGGAAGGCGGAAGTTTACTATTTATCAATCACAAACTTATTACCTTTTCTCTTAGTTCGACTTCAGACATCCACTCTTCTTTAGAGTCCCGAAAATCGGACTACGTATTGCAGTATTCTTCAAATGTACATATTTCCAGTACAAACAGTGTAGTTCAAGACGCCATGTCTCATGAACTCTCCTTAAACACTACAAAGAATACACTTACTTAAACTCGTCCAGATTTAAACCGGAGGCCCTGATCTTCAACACTAGTTATCTTTGACAACTGTGAAACTAAGATTCCAACAGTCAGGAATAGGTAATGAAATTTTAATTTATGACACACTTGGTCAGCATCGTCTGATCGTTTTTAGACATTATCGACGCAATGTCTTCAATACAATGCGCAAACGTCCTGATCCGGTCTTTGAAAAACCATTAAGTTAGCTGACTCAATATGAAGAAAGATATGAAGTAGTAGGCTCTCTACTATGTGAGCCGCTCAAAATTTAGGGATTAGATATAACAAACGTCCACGCGCTCGCTTCCAGATGTCCATCGTGATTTGGTAGTACCCTGATAAAATGAACTAGACACTCATAAGTCTTAACGTGTGGAGACCGCCTCACATGACGATCAGAAGAAGTACATATCAAGGATATTACCGGTGGAAGTGACCTAAACCTCTGGAGCTAATCAACGCACTTCGGAGAATACAGGTGGTTCCGTAACCATGATATGGTGTGTAACATTAACTGAATTAAATAAGAACTTTAATAGGGATTTTGCAGAATGTTTGTTTTATAGCGTCCAGTTTTTGTTAGGTTTCATTTTAGGCAGAAGGCACTTACTGTGCTGAGGTAGTGTGAAAGAATCTAAAAAACAAAAGAACAAGATGAAGAGCAAACGAACATTTCAGTATACACATAGAATGCACTTAAACCTCATTATATGGAATTGAAATAGTCTAACGAATCATGTAGCTAATCTGAAATAAGCTAGGAATTCGCTGAGACACAAGCATGAGCTCAAATTTTAGGAGAGTAAAATAAAATTTTATTGTATGATTATATCGTTATAACACAACATAATACCGTTAATTATATGGTAAATGTATTTGCGGCGGTTCACGATCAGACCATTTTGAAGGACGTTCATTATGCAAATTGATTTTTCAAGCATGAATTACGAAATCATCCGTAAAATATCCGACACCATCAAGACCATTGCTTTACGACCTGTAGTATCACAGAAGAAATATTTAATGCGAACGGCGGAAATTGTATCTGAGCCGCCAGAATGAGGCACTGTTAATAGATTAATCAGAGATTTTACCCAATGAGATCTATAAGTGGAAATCATTTATGTCTATCTAAAAATAACTCTCTGATATTCGTAATTTACACAATATATTCCCAGAGGGACGACTTTGCTGCGATAGAACAATACCAAGCATCGGGTGGTTTGTTTTACCATAAGTACTCTGTATTTTTCCATCTGATTTAGCAGCAACAATGGGAGCAGTCGTAGTGATTAGAAGTAGCTGAATTGATAAGTAAACTGTTAATTTCGAGAAATGGCCGATTCCAGCCTGATGAAAATCGTTGAATACTACTAGACATATGTGGAATTCAAATCGGGTTCGGTGTAATGTATTCAGGAAGTTTCTATTATCACAAATTCCCCAATAACACAAGTGAGCCACTGAAATGGGATTATTATCCATTTTTATATTTAAACCATTTATACTCAGTCTATGCTTCAAAATGAAAAGCTCCCCCTTACAACCAAGTACACCGGTTTACACAACTACCGTCCTCTTTTACTAATGATATATTGACTATGCCAATGATGAGTAGAAGATGGCCGAAAGATCACTATTCGTAGGTTTTAAATTAATATAATCAAAAAGAAACAATCAGTTTCTCTTAGCAGTAATTGAATCTGTGTTCCCTTTGTCAGCAACAAATGGATGAGATTTACATGTGTTAGCAATTTTTTAGTGCCACATGACTGTCTATATTGACTCACTCTATCGCGACAGTCAGGGGTCATGTTCGTACGAACCACTGAACAATAAATTTGATCTGGGGATTGAATAATATATTTATTATAAATAAGAAGAGGGTACGTAGAGTGACCAAATCCGCATAGCCGAGCTACGTGTTATCTGTCGCCAAGGGGCTACTACTACCACTGCTACTCATTATAATCCTACGGTTATTGATAAGCTGAAAGATTATTCCGGAATAAAGCCACAGGAACTGATTGGGAAATATGTTTTATTATTTCAAAGTTTTCAATTACATTTTCAACACATATACAGTATTTGAGAGTCAAAAGAATTGGGTGGTTTAGTATCAACAATTCAAAGTCACCCTAAAAACGATAGTCTTAACCAGGGGACGGCATAAAGGTATGCTACGTGTTCTCGTGCACATGTTATGTGTTATTAAGTATTTTGGATGTTGTTATATATCAGCTATTAACAGCGTTTTTGCCGTCACACGTCAATTTTTGCATTGTTATTGATTGGTTTATGGCTTTTATTGCAGTTTATTAGTAGCTTGACGTAGTTGCTGCCCACAATCTGGGTAAAAGTTTAGTCCGTCTAATGTGGTCAGTTGTATCAACTTAACCTCAAACAAGTGAAATCCACTACTTATCAAGTCAGAAATAGATCACAATCACATTTTACAAAGCGAAAATGAGCTCTAAAACAATTAACATTTAGTTCACTTCTTTACTAAGGTGGTGATGAACACTTGTAAATATAGTTGCTTATTAAGTGTAGGTTGGGGCAGTTCTGCGTCAAACTATCTTTGAACATCGTGTATGTTTCTAGTATATAACCATAAACAGTTCTATCTACAACAAGTATCATCATTTTTGACGGAATTGAGAAGGAAAAATTGTATGAGCAATAATTGACGTTGATAGCCATTTCTGCATGCTTCCTGAACACATATAGCAGTCTTTTGAATTGCTGTAATCCAAATCTGAGTCTATTAAATAATTGAAATAAATGTGTGGTTCATAACATAAGTCATTTTATGTTGAGATTTTACCTGACTATCAGAAGTAGGCGAAGATAAAACAAAGCTAGAACTACCTTGATATGTTAAAACAAAGTATGGAGTTTATATGTGCGATAATAAAACCATACAAACGGTTACAAGGTTAGTTGGGATAGGTAAAGATAGTGCCGTTTACATAAAGTGTCATGTGAATGAAATGTCCCAAATCAAATAATTTGGCTGGGCTTCAGCCCATAAGAATAAATACGCATGTATAAATGGTCTAGTCATTTTAAATTATTATTAACCACAAGGAATGTCCTCTTTATATTCATATCGCTCTCTGAATGTTTGATATGACAGTGTATTATCTCAGATATTTCAAAATACTCGTCATTTTAATGATACTCAAACACTTTTGTTTGAAACAGTCAAATCGAGTCCTTGCTGTGATATCAATTCAAGACATTTGGCGGGTTGGTGGTTTTTTTAATTGTTCTTACTTTGTTTTCTCGTACCATGACGTCCGGTTTATCTATCTTGACTCACTAGGTTTTATCACCCTATTATAGTGCATCGGCAGTTATTCTCCATAGTTTACAAGGATGAAAACCAGCATGAGTACTTAACAGCCTTCTGACGAACCAATTAAAACCAGGTAGTTTCGGCGAGACTATAATTATAAAGACCTTCCCACATTACTGAAACCTACATATAAAACTCCTTCAGAATAATAGGCTAGAAATAGGGTTGTTAATTAGTTTGGGAAGGTGGGAATGGGAGTTTGAGTTAGATATAGGTGTTACTATTTACGTTCCTGGTTTTCATCACTGAGATCACCTTTGGTGCCAAAATGCTAATTAGTCATCCGGATAAATTAAGCCTGCGTCAAAGCTTGGAACCCGCTGTCTGATATCTGGTCTGGTTGTCTAAAAGTTATAACCTCATTAATGATCCCTTTACTCTCTCAGTTGATTATTACGGTATGGTTCCAGGTCTTTAGCGTTGTGATGGCTGTTTGTTGGTAACCTTAAGAAGCATCAGCTCTGGAAAACTCATTTTAGAAAGCTAACCCACAAATTATCAAGCAACTTACAGATTCGGTACGAAGACCGTGTTGTACGTAAACACTCAACTAACGAATTTGTTTTGAATCATTGTCTTCTGTTGCTATTCAGCGTTCTTGTTAGAAACTTCCACACTGTTCTCCTCCGCAACGTGGGTTAGACGTATGCATCTAGGTAATCAATCAATTTAAGGTACCGCCTCGTATAATTTTGCGCATAATTAAGAGTGTAGTTTTAATCCGATTGTATGTTATGATTAGCCAATTGATGAATAGCTATATTTGGTTACTAGAATGCTACGGCGCAATATGGCAGTAAACATGGCATGATACGTAAGCTAAATCACAAGGAACACTTACCGATGCAAATTGTTTATTAAAGTATTTGATTCGATTCATTGTAACCAGATAGCATTTCTCTCACCTTAATTCCTGTCTCTAAATTCCGTCCCGATTTTTTTATAAGTTTGCGAACAAATGGGTTGAGAAGCATCATTGCATTATAGCTTATGTCAGTTCTGGATGTGGACCTTTATCCTAATACGTAATCTTGACATACAACCCTAACATCCAACCCAAACCCTTATACATCATAGCTGATGTTAAATGATGACATGGTTATAACCCTGATTCGAAACGCTTCTCAGACTTCTAGTGTGTAAATTCAACCTTTTTCTTCTACTATAATGAATAACTTAACATGTGAAGAGTAATCTATCATTCCAAAACCACTATTCCACTTATTCTATTGCTTTTTACCGTTAATCGTCTTACAACTCGGCGGCGTTTTTCGAGTGGCTGGTAAGTCGCTAAGGGTCGTCGGTATAGTCCACTCTTACCTAACTTGATATTCACTCGTTCCAGCGAGTCCGCTCCTTTAGGACAAAGGCTTTCCCTATTACTCAAGATATACCGACCTGAAAATAAATCTATTCGCGTGGATCAGTGCGGTGAAGTCTTAAGACTATCCACATCGAATAATGAAAGACATAGAACTGTAACTAAACATCAAGACGTAAGTGCCAATAAATTAATTGGTTTGGATTAGGTCGCCAAAACGATAAGTTGGTTACAGTGTGTTTATCGCATTTGGGGCTTAGGCCCGAATTCACAAGTAACGCGTACAGGGATAGCCGGATTTCCGAGACAATTTTACACATTTTGTTACTTTGGCTATCACTGGTAAGATTATGATCCTTCCGGTGTAAATAACTTTCATTTACCATCCTTGGTAAGAAGTAGACGAAACAGTCGCCCACACGATTGACCTTCTACTAACATTTTAACTAGTTTCAGCACAATGTGGGAAACATTAACAGCTACTATTGGACATTGCTACCAGTGCATGAAAGAAATCTGTACAGGACTGACTTCTGTTGCCTTTCACAACTCAGGTTGGGGCCCCGGACAAGATACGACTCAGCGGTTTGAGACATTGTCCGACGCTGTTCGGAATAGAAGCCAGTGGGGGTCCTTACATGATCATTTTTTACTTTGCAAAAGTGAGAGGAACTATGAATGAAAGAAAAACCAGACAAAGACGCCACAGAGTCCTCTGATCAACGCACAGTAAACATGCTTTTCAGGGCAACAGATGAAGATCAAACTTGTAGTATTTCACTAGTCTTGGATAGACAACAGACATCTATGTTGAGACTTTCTAAGGATATAGTCAACCCTATCTGTTGTCCGATTTGCATTAGTGTGGGAAAGTTGAGGGAGGCCAGTTCGAATGGCATACGTGGTTTCAGAAAGGCTGGTTCGGAATTCTTAGTGATAGCATTCAACTTTCGACCAGTCAGTGACTTGAAATCGTTTAAATAAAGCAAGATTTCCACCATAGGTGACCTGCTTTGAGTTGCAAAATAAAGCAACGGACAAGTGACTCAATGTAAAGTAAAAATGAGTATTAACAAGTAGTCTTGAGTATGACTTGCGAAATTGAGAATTAAAGCGCGAATGGTTTTTCTGATTGTGGTCAGAAGACTACATTGTGTCAGCATCAAACAGAACTATATTATCGAGGTATTCCAAGTCAACAAGTGAATCTCTCGATAGGAAAACTCCTGAAAAGGTAAGCAATCAAAGTGTTACTTCTAATAACATGTCAATGACAAGTTGGATAAAAATGGAAGAAGCAGATGACCCTGATAGTTCTTCACAAGCTCTGACTCAACTAGAAATGTTCGAGAAGAGAGCCTGTATGATGTTAATGTACTTCTTTGGGATGTCTTTCAATGATAGACACCGCCACAGAACCTCACGATCTTCGTAGTTGAACTCCGTATTAAGGAATATAAGAAATATAACTATAATCGGACATCGAAAAGTATGTCTGTTTCAGAACCTGGTGAAGGGTGAATACTCGGTCTATACATAATCGTTTACGTCTGAAACCAGCCTGGTTTTCTCGGGTTTGCTCCTCACGAGCTCTAATTAGACGTCGAAGTATTAACGAGGCTAATATTTTAGACATCTTAGTTAAACAGATTCCTCTGTGATTGTCACAAAACGATTTTTGTCCCTTCTTATAAACTGAGATGATCAGCGATCGAGACCAGTCAGATGAGATTTCATGCAGTTCTCAGGTTCTAGCTAAGATTTCAGTTAACTTAACCGGTAAAGCTGGACTAACATCCCTAAAGATCTGAGGACTTAATCCATCAGGCTGATGCTCTCTCGGGTCGGATCATCTACAGCCTTTACAATTTCACCAAGAGTTGAAGAACTTATATTAATTTTCCATTGATATTGCTTTGTAATAGTGTGTAACCGACATGTGACTGTAGGCCGCTAAGGCATTCTGCTGATTGTTCCGACCTCCTGAATTGAAAGTGAATAGCAGTATAATTATTTTCCAGGATAGTTTCACTAACAGTCAGATTTTTGATGCCCGTTTGCATGATAAACCTTAACAGTTAACTATTTTAACCTATCACCGCTGCCTTTTCCATCTCTACTGCCTTCGCTACTGACCGCTCCCCACGATCATTGAGTAGGTTTTTTGTCACCCTAAGTCTAAGCTGCCTCTGCTTCTCATCGTGTTCCAAGCCGGACGAGGTGATTTACCGAGCGCATATCGGTTTAGTAGATCCCGCCAAAATCCACTGATTTTTCCTAACCTTTAGGTTTAAGTTACGAGTTAGTCAGTCAGTAACAACGTAGAACGTCGTACGTACGTACGTACATCAGTTCGAGTTGCCACACCACATTAGCACAGAGAAAGTTACGAGACTAGTAGAGATTGTTATAGATGCAAATGAAGTGAAGTTAGATAAATCAATGCCGCATTTTGAGCCACTTGACGTAAGGTTCAAACATAGAGCGATGCAGCACGTCGTTTAGAGCGCTTTTTTAAGAGACTGAAAGTAACATTTTTTGTACTCGCATAGTTAGCATTAGTGGCGCATGAGGATTGAGTCATTAGAGAGGAGGGTTGGTGGTGAGAAGCTTATGATGTGTTAGCTCTGTATTCCAAAAGATCTTGCGTTCGGAGTCGAAGAGTTGTGTAATAAGGTAAGCTTGATCTTTTTAGGACCGACCTTTCCCAAGCCATTCATTTCGTTGTGAGAAGGCAGCATCACTCTAAGTGCTGGTTGTCTAAAGGAAACAACTTACTATCGTCACACCTCAGCAGTCGGCAGCACGACCTCTTCGAACCATAGGTTTGCCGCTTTTAGACTTACTGTTCCCCAACCAACCTACTTGACGTGGTAGGACCTAAAGGAGTGACTGTTCCACACAATATAGCTCGATTGGGTCACTACGATAGGCAAGCCTCACTACAACGTCAATATAGTGGCTACGGTGGGGTGTTCATTGAAGAACAATACATATATAGCTTTCATTCAGTTTATAGGTTTATTTTAAGGTTTATGAACAATAACAGTTGTTTATGGCTGATTTGAAGTCCCAACTTAAACTGGTCCTATGTCGTATATGTGTTGACGATGTACAATCTTTAACCACAACCTATAAGAAGTAAATCAATATCAATTAGATCGGAATTGTGTTACAGCAAATTATTTAGTGTGAACATCATACATGGAATTTCAATACCTTTACAATGGTTTGTGTCAATGACAAATACTTTAAATATTCTATTCATTTTTTCTTGGCATGCAACTAGTTCAAGATCAAAAACTTCATCTGTAGAACTTGTGTCTTTACTTAGTGGGGAGGAGAAAGAAGAGGATTAAAGTCATTTTGTTCACGGTATTGAAGTTGGAGTCCCGAATTATTAGCACAGTACACAAACGCATCAACGTGCTTGCTTATTTAAAATTTTTACAAGTGTTCTGAACTCCGTGGAGAGTCAAGAGCGACCAACTTAACCAAATTAAAAACCTCTAGATCGAATGATAACTTATTATTTCAACTCTTCGAAAAAGTTGACTAGATGTTTGTAAAATGGATGACGCTGTCGTAACACTGTAAAATAGCCCGGTCCATCCAATTTATTAAATTATTACTGTCGTATGGTAGTTGCTTTTGCTACCGGTGAATAATGAATCCTTTTAAAAATTGCGAACTTTTGTGTAAATTTTTGTTTAAGATTGGTCATGTCAGTTGAGTTACCTGAAGCTAAAGCTGATACTCTCCAAGAAGTCTTCTCAGACAAGTTCCAGTATATCAATCTAGATCATTATAATATTTATCATTTCGAGGAAATTTTGATTGATGGTCGACGATATCAATTTCGATTATCTTCAAAAGGTGATTTAATGACAGTGGTCACTCATATAGCTGGAAGAGCTATTCTTTTGGTGTCTGTATGGACAAATATGGATTATGAGAAACGTTTACGTGAAATCCATCAGCACATTTTAGAAATGGAACGTACTGGGACTATTCCTATCGATTTTCGAGGTATTACTGATTTTAATTTTTCACATTACAAAATATATGGAGTCAATTATTTTTAATGAATTCGTTTCCAATCGTTCCTGGTATTCTCATTATTAAATGTTAAACATTATTTACATTTATCAGGTAGTCAAGCTATTGTTTCTGTCACCTGATGTATCGTCTCTCAGTTTACTATTTATTGAATTTACCGAGTCTCATGCGTCAACTCTCACACTCTTTTCACTACCGATTTGAATCGTGAATAAAAGTAAACCCAACACTTGTATGTTCCAATCTGACTCATTTGAAAGCATGTTCTGAATTAGAATTCTCATTTTCCACAAACGGTAACTGAAAATCGTTCATATGAATTGGAATTAGTGTATAAATAATGTAATTGTTCTTTAATTTACACAACATACCTACTTAATGACCGAACTAAGGTCACAAAAATTTGGGTTATGCTAATCGTATACCGTTCAGAATACTCTCCATTTGTGACAGTATACTTATCCCATATTCGTCTGAATTGTTGAAAACATCTCTGAAGCAACTTAAAAGCCATACATTTCTGTTACATCGTCTTTCACACTTTATTGTTCGTATCATACCATTGTTGCTCTCACATAACCATTTTGAATTTCGTGGATCAAAAGAAATCACACGGAACTCAGTCTAGCTAGTAATAAAGATTATCTGACGTGATGAATTGAATCAATTATTGGACAGCAACTCACGAACAATCACTTACGAATGTGCAAGTGCATTGTTGTAATTGAATAGTCATCTATCAGCATCGCACAAATCCTATCTAACTTTAAGGTGTTGAGAATTTTTACATAAGGACAACATTTTCGGACGAGTGTGTTTGCAGATATCGAAATAAATTTTATAGTAGTTTCACTTTATTTAGTATTGTACGTACTTCGCATATTATGTTCGGTGGATTTTAGTAACCATATGTCTGATTCAACCATTACTCCACTGAGCTGTCATATAATAGGAAATGATTACTAACCATGTGTTTTAATGAGATCTATCTCAATAACCAATTACAAGTTGGTATATTCAACTTAAAGCCATACTTTTATGTAAGGTCTAATGATACCTGCTATTTGAGTGTCTAAATTAGAGCTGGATCAGCTTTTAAACCAATCACTTCAATAATAATTAAAATATACTGTTATTAGTCATTTACCGACTGTAAACAGAAAAACATTGATAAAGATATTTTTTTTGTAAATAAATTGGTCGTTTTGACACAAATTATTATTTTGATATTTTATCTAATAAGACATACACGAACGGAAAAATGATCGATTTTCGAAAATTAGTGTATATTTTCATTACCCTCCAAATACTCTGGTACGGGCGAAAGTGTGGAGAGTCAGCTCTCCCTCTCGAAATACTCCCACATGGCCACTTGCATACAAGTACTGTCAGGGAAGTCCTACTCACTGCCTTCTCGTGTTGAGGGTGTTGTTTACGAAATTGGGAAGACAAAAATCTACTGACCAGAGCTTTAACCGGGTTGTTGGACACAGAGAGTCCACCTAGGGGAGTTGGAAAACCCTGACTCAAAACCAATGGTGCACATAGACTCCAGGACCCTAAGGAAACAAATAGCGTATGAACGAATCGTTGGTCACCGGCTATCATGGGACTGCATCTCCTGACGTTGCTCCACTGCCTTATGGATCATAGTTTAGGTCGAAGGCTCTGGGTGTGGCTGCCTAAGGAAACCACCTGCTTCGGTTTGTCACCTAGGCAGTATCTCAGCTCTCACACGAATCGAATGATTTATGTGGAGCATACCTATTTGGTGCCTCCTTGTACCAATATTTATGTGTTTAAATTAATAATAAATCATTAGATATCATTATTTGTCAACTAACCTAGTTCACAAATTCACAATGGAAAATCATAAATGGATCTGAAATATAAGTATATACGCTACACATTTCAATGTGAACGAATTCAAAGCACACGTTTGTAAGGAAGGGATACAAAAAACGACACAGGTTTAGTAAATAATATAATTAGTGAGTACCGTATTTTTTGATCACATATACAAATAGCAGTTTGATTAAATTCACCTTTCATTATAGACCCAGGAAAATTGAAAGGTCTTCGTGAGAAAATATTCAGATAGATCTAGTCAACCAAACCTATTGATCCGTTACATTTGATGAGGTAATTTTTATGATTCTGTTAACTAGTAGACTGATCAACAACTAGATGAACACAAAAATTTTCACTTGAAAATAATCTGAGACTTAATTTTTTATTGTATTCCGATTCAAATTAATAGTGTAGCTTATTAATACCTTTGAAAAAGTATATGTCCGAGTTTTTGGAATACGTAATGTAGATTACTTCATAGGTATTTTTCTTCTCAAATGTCAGATAGTTCATTCTTAACATGTTTCAAGAATTACATAGTTGTGATGTAAGTAGGTCATTTAAAATCACATAAAGTATCATAAGTTGGTTAGTTCAATCTCTTGTTATTATATAATAGGTTGGATTCGCTGTGACTAATTTATTGTTTAAATTAATTGAACATATTCATTCGAATACGTGGTGGATTATCAAAATATATACTACTTAATTTATGGTTGTGTATACGTATACATTTGAGTAAAATATATGAAGGTGAAGAAAACATAACTTTCTCCCATATTATTTTTGTCTCTAGTTTTATAAATTAAGAAGGTACGTATTATTTAAATTCACTTGGTATTATTTATTTGAATCTTCCCATCACTGTTTAGGACTGCAATTTGCATATGTGCGTACTGTGCGTATTGCCTCGATATTGCCTTAATTCACAAGCATTATAAGCAAAGATGGCGTTTGGAGCGAACGGTACTGTATTCGAGTCCCAGAGTGAACATCAACTCTGGGATGCAAGTACATCCAACTGACGAGTCCCAGATAAGCCGAAACGTGCGTCCTGGATTCCACTGCTAGCCACTATCCATCTTTGCTTATAATGTACGTATTGTTTGTTTCAATACTTTTTAGTACGGATATAGTACACTTTTCTCTTCGTTATGAGCATTCAGATTGCATATGTAGTTTACTTATAGGGTGTATAATGTAATATGACACCATATATTCCCAACTCAATATCCATAATTTGACGTAAGATATATGATGCTATTTTTTCACAATAGGATAGTATGCTGTGTTGAAAAAATCACAGTATGTAGTTTAAGTTTGAAATTTTCTTAAATTTTTCAACTTTTCAAAGTTGTTGATAAATCCCAATCTCATGATGATACATTTATCTCACTGTTCATCTTGGTAAAAAAATTTTCCCATAAAATCAATATTGATATACGTCGAAAATTTCGTCCTGGTCAGTTAAATAATCGGTTGATATTTTAAACATGATTTCCTATGGACAAAAATAGATTCAGCTGGCAAAAAAAGTGGATTGATTTCAAAACGTTCACATGTTCCAGGTGTTACAGTTTTCTGCATTAACGGTTGCCATTGCCTCACATAGAACGGGTCGCTTGTATCTAAAAAAATGAGTAGATTTCCGGTAGCTGGTCAAGTGTTGCTCTCACTGTTGTCTATCAGTATCTAGATATTGACAGATGTATCATCAATAATAACACTATCACTGAAACTTTAAGATTTGTAAGTTGTTCTGTAAATAGGGTCAAGTGTTTGTGTTATGATCATGGACATTCAATTCAGATAAACACGCTTCCCATACAATTACCCAACAAGCTATGCAAGTGAGGAGACTGAAATGACTAGGATGATTTAATGGACAAAAACTGAATAAACTTGTTCGAAAGCTATTGGTATTAATGCATGTGTCCTTCTAACTCAGATAAGAATATCCAGCATAAAGACCTTGACTAGAAGCACAATCACTGTCCCTTAATAGCGTGCCTCGCTTATGGCTTCTCACGTACCTCTTAGTTTTGAGACATAGGGAAATAATATGTCTAGACCCACTCACCCAGCCTGCTAGCGCGCTGTCAAGGATTCTTAGATAAATAGTTGAAACTTTCACCCAACTCTCACATGCTTACATAAAATCGTCAGGTGATATTATTATTCTTAAACAAATTTACTCGTAAACTAATTCAATTTTCTGAAATAGTTTATTCTTCCGACTAGCAACCGCTAGTTCTCAAGTTTGAATCTCACTCCACTTACCTTTGTACAACTAAACTGTAACTCCACCATTTACATATATTTGTATACTTACCAAGTGGATTATAAAGAAATACTTTATTTCATCAGTGAGTAGCGATTCGGATTACTCGTGTTTGTACGTCATATATATCTTATGAAAATGCAATCGGAAGGTTGTATTATATTCATATTTGTTTACCTCATTTTAGGTATGCTTGGTCGAGGAGGTGGAGGAAATGAACAAACGGTATCATAATTCTTAACTTGTCTCACTCTCTCTCCTATATATATATATATATATATATATATATATTCAGTGTATTTAAACTGTGTCGTGCACTTTTTCTAAAAAAAAATTATATTTCCTTGTCTTGTACATATGTATATTTCGAGAAATACGATCTTTCGTTATAAAAATGTTATTTTTCTTTTATACCTTATGTAATATGATTGCATAGTTACTTAGTTTTAGTGAGATTGTCTCAGATTCATTTCCTTTATCTTGCCCCATATCGTACGTTGTGGTATTTCTTCATATATATACACAAATAGTTTTTCATCCTGTCTATTCGAGATATCCATCTATCAATTAAGGGACGAGTATACTGCACAGCAGTTCGTTATGTTCTACTTCACGGCTGCAAAACGTGGCCATTAATAGCAGAAGATACTCGTAAACTACTAGTATTTGATCACAGATGTCTTAGAAATATTGCTCACATCTGCTGGGATCACCGGGCAAGTAATATTGAGGTTGGACTCAGGTTATTAGAGAATGATGGTAAATTAGTTGACGAGGTTGTGAATCTTCATCGACTGAGATGGTTGGGTCACGTGTTGTGCATTCTTGCCTGAACACCGATTACCACGACGAGCAACGCTGATTAGTGTTGGCGATTGTTGGAAGAATGTTAGGGGTGGCCAAACCACAACGTGGTATCATTTCAAGAAGTCACTAACTTGTGGTGTGAGCCATGTGGATGGTAGATGCAGACTACTTTGTTGGAGTCCGTGTGACTATCATAACCAATGGTTGGAGACTGTGTGTGTGTGTGTGTGTGACATGGATGAGAATCGATTACAATGGTGTCGGTGTATACACTCTCTGTCTTCCCTTAAACTATGAGATTAAAATTGCTTCATATCTTTCTCTTATAAATTACCATCATTGAATTGTTTACTTCTATGAATCTGGTGTTCATCTTGTTGTGCTAATGAGTGGGGTGTGGCAACTTGGATCGATGCATATATGTTCCTGGTCCTATGTTATAGCTGACCACTGAATATTGAACGAAAACCAGAAGGATCACGATGTCGATTATTTGACTGAATACCCAGCAAATGAATAATATCAAATTGAAATATGAGTCAACTAATTCGATTAAAATGTATAGAATGTTCAAAACAATCGACACACTAATCTGTAGATACGGTTTAGTTTTGATATAAAGGGGATCTTATTCAATAAAAGCACTAAAGCATTTCAAAGTGCATCAGCTGTGTTGTTTGTTTTAATTCTGTTTTGTTTTGGTTTTTTGGAGTTCTTAGGAATAACTTTTCGATGATAGCAAAAGTATCGTCAACATATTTGAGCCAAATTCCTCGTGTAATATCATAGGCAAAATATTTGACATGAACAGGTAAGTTACAATCAAGGACAAAACTATTGTAATTACAATAGTAGTCATGAACATAAAAAATTATGACACAACCTTTAAGCATCTATCCGCAGGACTCAATGATAAATGCCTAGACTTTATCAGTGGTTTACCATGGATTGATACCTTAGTTCTACCATACCGCCATGGTACAACTGAAGAACCTCAAAGAATCCCAAAATAACATGGAATTATAGCATACTACAAAACAACTGATACTTTTTGAGATGCTTTGTTTCGTATAAAGGATATGATTCTTTTTATGACACGTAACTGTGGCTACAAATTCGAGTATTTTGATTATGTTGCTTTGTATGTTAGAGTTTCATCAGGTGAAATCCTAACTCATGTTAAAGAACAGCAAAGCTACACAAATAAATCATCTGATAATCCTGTAGAACCTAAAAGGCTCCAAATTAGATCAGCCATAAAAGTGGAGGGCATCTTCAATAACCATCAAATCGATACTAAAAATATCAAGATAATACCAAAAAAGCTTTCGCAACTACAAAGAAAGGCGAATAGCTAAACCTTTCCATATATTGCTAAATCCTACTCCCATTAATAGAATTAAAGCCATTACTATCCATTTGACTTGAATCATCTATCCGACCTATGTCTGATGCTATTCACATCACACCATTATCATACCAATCCAAGTCTACCATTTCACATTACAAATGTCAAATTTTCCACTCATTAACACACACACAAACATGTCTCATTTAAGCTGCTTTGACCGGAGTGGTATGGTATTGACTGGGTCAGACCTGTTTCTTTGATTGATTTTACCAAGTACTTTTGCCTTGTACTGTCTAAACGTGTATTAATTTGGTTCCTGAAGTAGCGGCTTACAATGAGTCACGAAACGTCAGGAAATTTAGTTTTTATGCCCAGTGGTATGCTACAAATATGATATTTTTACTATTTTCAACCAGTAGGTTCCAGACTCGAGCCTACTTACTTCAGTAGTATCACTAAACCTTAAACGGAAAACGTGACTGGAAGTAAAATTATTCTCATTGACTTGCGGCAAATTGTGAATCGAAGAATTTACCCTTAGCTAGTATCTTATTGAGCCAAAAATCCCTAAAGTCTTAGGTGGCTTTAACTGAAACTGTGCAATTGAATAAAGCCATTAATAATAATGATAATAATAATAATCCTAGTACTGAGTTTACGTAACTAAAGTTATGGCTGAAACTTATTAATAAATGCGAAAAAGCCTGTCGGGTATAGTAACGACACAATAACTGCTACCCTATACATTTTAAAGTGCATATAACTCACTATTGATATAGATTCGTTCATAAAATAGTAAAATGCCTTTTAGTGTGTGATCCTTAAAGTGATTAACACATCCATCAGAGTTTAGCAAATTAAGTCTTATAATGAAATCGTTGACTAACAAAAGGTCCGATACATTTTTTCGCTATGGCTTTTAGTACTCTCGACTTTTACCAAAATACCTCTTTAATTTTAGGGTTAATTTATCTGAAACTTGAATCTGATAATACGACAGATTCAAACAAGTTTTCATTGGGTCATCCAATTTTTGATCTACCTCCTATTTCCTTTATCCTGATATTCCCTCAAGAAACCCAAACCCCTTTCATCTACCAATATTCATACCATTAAGGGTACAACTCACGACAAGACAGCATTTACAGATTATTTTATAGCATATTATTACCAAACCATTGCAGTTTTCGTGTGGGTTATTATTCTGGGTTTTTTAGTGAACGAGAACAGAAGTGGGGACCATTGAATTTATTGAAACACAAAATTACAGAATCTCTTAATAAAATCCGAGATCCATATAGTAAATACTTAATTTGCAAAATGTCGATCAATTGTCTCAAACCTGACTGTCCCTTTTGCAAATATCAGACAGCCGTCTCAGACTTCATTGTTCTGTCTTTCCCACACCAATCATTCTTTGTTCTCGTTCTTTTTTCTTTGATCTTAACTTTCTTCCTCCAGGTATTCCACTTTCAATTGATGATACACACTACTTACATCTGTCGACATCAGTAGCACACACCGCAGTTTATGTGGCACATCTAATTAGATACTTAGTGTGTAGTATTATAGCGACTCACGTGCAATTGAATTTTAGTTCAGCCAAAGTCTTTTGTTGACCTATTTAATGGACAAAGTCATCCATGCTATAACAACTTGTTGTACTGTTATTATTATTGTGCTTTTATGAAATACATATACTTGAACATTGTTTAGCGCCTACGCATGTATTCGTTCTGCTAGCTTCATTGTTAGCTGCTTAATCTATTCGATGACTCATCCATCTCCCTATATATATACATTTACACTACTACCACTGCTACTGCTACGGTCGTAGTTCGCTTGCTCATCCATTTTGCCTCTCTGCTGTCTGGTCCGAATTATCTACTAAATAAACTGTAGTAGCTACTTCTTTTTGCCTTCTGGTCTCAAACACCGTTGAAGATTGTACGATAACGGTTCGAGGGTGATTAGTTATCGAAGCACAGCCACTACAGTATATCAAATTGGTTGTCATTAACTGACAACAACCATAATTCAGTCAATTTCCACTACTGAGTAGTCTCAAAGCATGTCAAGATAGTCGTTAATTTTCTAGCTTTCGTTGAATTCAAAAAGAATACTTAATCCCTGCATTGAAGCATAATTGTGTAAAACGTAGAGATTATTTCTGAGTATGCGTCGCAGACCCCGATCTTACTCCAGTTTTTTTGTTATAACGGTCAATTTGTAGCAGCACCTTTAGATCTCGTATAGTCAGGTTTAAGACCCAATACGTTGATGGTTATATGATTACTAAGTTGGATTTATTATATTATATATTAACTTATTTAGAAATGCTACCTAGGCAATCTGACAAGTATGTGTTTATATTAAGTTCCATATACTAGTAGCTTTAAGTAATTCGACATCAAGTGCGTCTTCGCTGAGTTAGTCTGGTTTTTATATTCATTGTTATGATTATGCTAGGCTAAATAATGTGACTTTTGGCAACGTACCGATAGTTTCATCAAGAATCAGATATGGGTAACTAAAAGTTCCATCGACAAAATTGTAGATTGAGATAAAGTCATTTACAAATTATGTGATATAAAAGGTCTATATTTATCTTTCGCCAGTCGATCGCATTTTAAACTGTCTAGACATTATAGATACAGCATGTACCTCATCTAAGATTACTGCCGATCTCAAGCACGGGTAAAGGAGAAGGGTTAGGCATGGGGTCGGTGATCCCATTCTGTGGAAAACAACCTTTCTAAAAAACACTGACCGGAATATATAGTTTAAACTCTGCCCTGGGAGTTCAACGATCTTCATTCACAAGAATTATGACGCCTCATAATGAAATCTGGGATTCTTCTGAAGCCACTAGTTCGATGTTCCTTCTAACAACCAGAGCAAAATTTTTATAGGTACATAGGATGTTCGGACAATGGGGGAGACCGAGAGGACCAATGAAACCAGTGGAAATGAAGAGATACAACTTGACGGTTCTCGGAATCAGTGAAACCCAAGCTGAACGACAAAGTTTAGGTACGGAAGAGATGCTGATTTACTTCGGTCACGAAGAGGAGAGTGCTCCACACTCAGGGAGTTGCTCTGATGCTATCCAAAGAAGCACGAAATGCACT